ATTAATTTTTTATAGAAAATTAGAATTCATAAAAAAAATTAAATCATCAAAATTACTGTTTATAATTAAATTCAAATAATAATATGGAATAGTTTATATAATATTATTTTGAACAAGTTGTAAAACTTTGTTTGGTTACTTTTAAAATAATTATGTTGTATATATTCTATTAGAATATTATCTATTAAATTGATATAATTTATTAATAATTATTTTAATTTTATTTTTTTGAATCTTTGTTCAAATGGAAATTGAATAAATTATTTAAAAATAGTTAATAGCTGTATTTTTTAAAATTATTTTTCTAATTTTTGATAATTTCCTTTTTTTTCTGATTATTGTATCTTATAATTTCAATTTAATTTAAATTCAAAAGTACAATGATCATTAAATAATTTTAAACATATTTGTGTTTTGTAAGTAAAATAATTTTATATAAATATCGTATTTAAACTCATTTCAATTATATATACATAAAATTTTAATTATACATGATTCATTTAAATAAAACTATCTAAATATTTACAATTCTAATATTTGAAAATCTAATTTTCAATATAATTATACAAAAAATATGCAATTTCAATAATATCAAAAAACTATTACTGGTTTTTGCGATGATATACATTCGATAATATTCACTATAAGTGAATATTTTTTCTAAATTGCATAGATATTAATATTGATACGATTAATACGTAATTCAGTTATAATGAAATAATAACATAATCTTGAAATAGTCTTTCTAATTTCAAAAATGAAAATTAAATGTGAAAATATATTTATTAAAATCGCAGTCATTACAAAATGATAATTTTTATAATAAAATTATTATTTTATAAAAGAATTCAAAAAAAATATAAATTTAATTAAAAAAAATATATGAAATTATATTCAAGATTGGCAATTAAACATTATAAATTTATTACTTAACTTAATATAATTAAAAATAATATATATTGTAAAAATGCAACGGAAATAACATATATATATATAATACAGCCGGGTTCGAACGAGTTAGAATCGGAGCGTTTCCAGTCGATCGATGGAAGTAATAGTAGGCTGAACAAGTTCGGGATGAAAGAGCTTTTTAAAAGAGGGGGAGACCTGCCACCTATAAGCAGGAAAGCAAGTTCCGCTGGTACAGTACTCACGTCATTTCCGGTCTCCTATTTTCGAATGCTTCTTTTTATTTCATACACTTCTATTCATAAACATTATTATATTAATTCATAAATACTTAAAAATTGTATATATATATAACATCAAGAATAAATAAAATATTTATTATTTTATATTTATTATTTATTTTTATATTTATATATATAATTATGTTATAATAATATTATATAATTATATATAATAAATATACTTATATATACTTATAAATATATAATTATAAATTTTCTTATATTTATATTTGAGAGCATTATTTTTATTGAAAAATTTATTTAAATAAAAGACTCCAAATATATATTAATATTATTTTATACATTATATTTTACATACTAATGTTAATGAATTTTTATAAAATATTTTTATAATTTTTATAATTTTTATAAAATAATATTTAAAAGCATAGGAAATTCAAAAAAATATTTATAGAAAAAGAAAAGATTATACTAATATTTATTTACTTTTGCAATGATCTTGAAATAATTTCACAAGTAGATCATAATTAAATTTTTTAACAAAAAAATTTTTTTTTTTGTTATATATTATTATAATTATTATTGAAATGTTTAAAAACACTTTTTATTAAATTTCAAACTTAAGATCATAATTTTTATAAAATTTTTATGGAAATGTAATAATAGTATATGTAATAAAGGTTATAATAGATTAATTCATAGTTTTCGTAAAATTATTAATTATCTCATTTGAAATTTTAGATTATAAAAATTAAATTATAAAGATAAATAAAACTTAACTCATATCATATCTTATATTATATCTTAATATTATAAAAATAATATCAGAAAATAATATTGATCTAATAAAAAATTCATGTTTCTCTCTTATTCTTTTAATCATTTATGTATTACAATTAATTATTTATGAAGTAATATTAAATATCCAAAAAAGTTTTTGTTGATTTTTATTTATATTGTATATATAATAATAAAATATAGAAAAATTATATTATTCTATTGTAAAGAATGAAAAATAGAACATAATTATATTTATTGTATCTTAATCAAACGAAAAATAAATACTATATCATATTTATATTCAATCATGATATATGTAATATTTTTATATAGTACTTTTTTATGAAAAATTTAATTTTCTAAAATTTACAAACTTATTTCAAACTTTTATCCATTCTGATATCTATACATGAAAACAAAACAACATATAATGATAAATATATTTTATTTATTATTTTATAATTTTATTTATTATTACATGTATATATAATTATAAAAAGTATATCATTATTTAATTTGTAATTAGTTAATTTGTAAATAATATAGAAATCAGAGATGTATCACATAATCGAACAAAATTTTTCTATAAAATTATATTCTAGATGCTAATTGTTCATCGAGAATTTATTATTTATTTGAGAATTAATTGTCTTTAACTCTCCTAATTGCAATGCGGTTTAGTTTGAAACATGAATACAAGTTGTGTAATATTATTATGAAAGTAAAAAATATATTATTATCTATAATCTTTAAAAAGAAGAAAAAAAAAATTCAATATTAGAATAAAAATTAAAGTGTAAAATTAAGAATATAATTTAAAGAATAGAATAGAAAGAATAGAAATATTTTATTCAATAAGGAAACATTTTTATTCACATTGTAAATACTTTAGTAATAATTTCATAATTTTATGTATAATTTTATGTATTAAAATGCAATATAAAGTTTAATATAACAGATACAATTATGGATCAATAATTAATAAAAAAGATATAAAATTGAAGAAAACTATTTCTGTTTATGAATCTGTAATAGTAACTAGCTTTAATAATAATTTAAATTACAATATAAAAAATAATATAAAAATAATTTAAGATATTCGTGTATTTAATAGATTAGGTATTATTTCAATTTTTATGTGATTTATAATAATCTTCAATATTTTAATCGTTTTACATAATTGGAAAGATAATAAAAAAAATAATTTAGACTATTTACAGTACAGAATATATGTGTTTTTATTAATACATGAAAATTTACTTATGAAAATTTTCCTTTATAGATCAGATCGTAATTAAAACTATAATTTCACTTTTTATTCTTATTTTGATAAATACAAATTTTTGATACATTTCTAATACATTTTTCAATAATGCGCACAAAAACATTTTCGTATTCAAATAGCAATTCTCTGAATATAACAATATATTTATTTGCAAACAAATTGTTATATATCAATTATCGAACAATTAAATTCAGATACAATATTGATTTGTGAGAAATATTCTCGAAAGCAATTCACAATAATTTTTATTAAATGGATAAGATAATCAGATTATATATGTTTATTATTATTACATCAATTTATTTTATAAATGTACAATTATTTTTGAGATAAAATAAATTTAAAGAAAATTTAATTAAATATTTACAATAATTAAGAGAAATATGAAATGAAAATATATAATTTATAGCTTATATATAAATATCATAATAACCTCGAAATTTATCAAGTAAAAAATTATTCTTAAAAATTGATTATAATTACAGTGTATTAATATATTCGTGGAACTCTTTTCGAGAGTTCATTACAAAGGTTGAAACAAACACAAAAATTAATATACAAAAATAATTAGTTGATTCAACTAATTATTAATTACTTATTTATTACTTATTTATTAAAGTATAAATAGATTGGATTTTTATGCAGTCAAAATAAGCTCATAATATTCAATAATATAAAAAATGAAATAATATAAAAATCTATTTTGTTATTTAAAATATATTAAATATAGTATAGTAATATTATTAAAAATATAGTAATTTTATATAAATTTATTTATAAAATTTTTCTTGCAATTTTTGATATATTGCTATTGTTTATCTAATAACATTGAATAAGCAAAATAACAAAATAATATATTACCCTGTTGTTCCTTTTATAAGATAAGATAAATTATTTAGAATCAATTTTTAATATTATATCATAACCAAAAATTTTATTTTATGATTAAATTTGTGTATAATATTTAATTATACAAATAAAATTAATTAAGTAGAAAAAGAATAAAATATAATATAATATAATTATATGACATTATTAAATTTTGTGCCCATTTCGTTTTACCTAAATACAAAATAAAATTGCTTATAGTTTATAATAATAAATCTTAATCCGAATTTTTAACTTTTATATTTTTTTTTTAATCTTTAAAAATCGGCAGAAAATAATAAAACAATATATATGAATCAACTCAAAATAGTTATTCCATAGACGAATAAAAAAGGAAAAATTTTTTTTAAGAATACAATTTTTGATAAACAAAATATTTGTAAACAATATTTATAAACAAAATATTTGATAAACAAAAAAGTTATAGGAAAAAAATTCTATTTTGAATATCGGCGTAAAATTAAAAAAAAAAAAAATAATATATTAAAACGATATTAAAAAAAATATAAAAGGAATAAAATTACAGAACAAAAAATAATTTATTATTTATTTGTCATTTTATTCGATATTATTTTATCTTTTTCGATTTTTTTATGTATTTTATTAATTTATATAATTTCATTAAAATTAATAAATTTACATTTCTCGTGTATAAATTAACACTAAATTTTATTGGAAAAGACATATTTAATCACGTTATTTCATTAGATCGTTTTGATTACTTTTTATTTTTCATAATAAAATAAAATAAATCTTTATTTTACAAAAATATATTTATAGATAAAAAAGATGTAAAATTTATTCCCTTGTTTTATATATTATAAGAAATCTATTTAAAAATTTAAAAAGTTATCTTTTATTAATTCATTAATTCAATTATTCTTTTTAATTTTCAGGTGCCGGCGAATCTGGAAAAAGTACCATCGTTAAACAAATGAAGTAAGTAGTTAAAAAATATATATTTATTGTTTGAAATTGATTATATTATTTTATTTTTGTTTCTTCTTTATTAATTTAAAATATTTATTAATAAATATCTCTGATAAAAAATTCCTGTAATAAATACATTTTATAAGTATATTTTATATATTTTATATATTTTATATATATATTTTATATATATTACATATTATACAAGTATAAAATATATTTTTTATAAATATATATTTAAATATTATTAATAATAAAACTATTTTTATGTAGCAAAAATATTCATTTTCATTTTACAATTTAATTTTGAAATAATACAATAAGATTTTTTTTAGTTGATTATTATATTGAGTTTATTTATATACTTTTTCTGTTTTATTAAATATAAATCCATATATATTTAAATCACTGAATTTATTTCAACAATATATAACATCAACATATATAACAATATATAACATTACAAATAAAAGTATGTATATAAAATTTCATTTCATGTAAGAAAAATATCTTTATTAAAATTTTTTAATTTTTTTTAATCTAAATTTTTATTATTTTTCCTACTTAATTATTTATATATAACATTATAATACATATACATATAACATGTTAGAATATTTTTCAGCAATTTTTGCTATTCATTGAATATTTTATTTGTTTTAGTTATCAAAATAGCATATGATTATTTGATTATCCTTGCTTTTTTTATTTTTATTTTGGTATTTCAATTTTTGAAAATACAATCATTTTTTACTTTTATATCATATATCATTAAAAAATAATTAATTATTGAACTTGAATAGTTAATTATTATTTTAATTTAAATAGTAATTTGGGATAAAATTTTTGAAATTTTATTATTAAAAGAAAATGTATATACACAATACAACAAGAAAGCAGCAAAAATATTGAATAAAAATACAATATAATAACAATAGATTAAATAAGATTAAATGTTTTATTTTTTCTTCAAAATAATTTTTAAAGAATTTATACATTATATTAATCATTTAATTATTTAAAAGAATTTGATAAATTATATTTAATTAATTTATTATATTTTGTCGAATATCAATTTCAGATTAAAATTTTTTAATTTTTAGTTTCAATTTTAAATGTGAGATTTAAAAAAGTCTATTGATGTTAAATCAAGAAAATAAAAAAAAAGCATTCAAATATAAAAAAAAATTTTTTTTTTACTCTTTCTATAAAACATTATTACTGATATGTGCAGATACACTGTCATGTAACAATTATCTTAAACTTGTACATATCAATAACGATAATAATGATTTTTAATTAAAAAAACAATTCTGTATTTTTATTTTCTTAATTTAATACTAGTACCAAACTTTATTTAATTACATAATTAAAATTGAAATTAAAAGATAAAACGATTTCAATCTTAATATTCAATGAAAGTCAATAATTTTAGCAAAATGATTTTTAAATTTTTTTTTACAATTATAAAAAATTAAAAAATTTAAAAATTTGAAGGAATAGTTTTATATGTAATTATTTTGTATTTTTATTAATCTCATTACTTTCTTATCACATAATGAACATATATAAATATATTTTTAATTCTTATTCTAAATAAAATTAAATATTATTGTAAATAAAAATTAGATATAATGAATTTTTCATTTGAAAATTTGTTAAAAAATTAATGAAATTTTTTTTAATTAAAATATATACCAATACGACATTTTCAATATATTTTTACATTTATTAATTATAATTATATTTATTATTAATAATAATTTTAATAATATTTTCTTTCATTTAATTTCATCATACATACAATAAATACATAATTCATAAAATACATAATTTCTGATGTGTTATAAAAACAATTTAAAAATATATTTTCTTTAACAATATCTTCGATATTTTAAATATAGCAAAATATCATAAAAACTGTACATCTTTCTAATATATTCTTTTCTCTTAATGTCTTGATTTTATTTAATTTTAATATTACATTATCTTATTTTATTATTTTATTATTTTACTATATATTAATTTTAATATTTTTTTAAATAACGAAATAGAATTTAATTATTAATTAATAATAAATAAATATAATACAAATTAAATTTTAATAAAAAGTTTTATTTTGATAAAAAATAATATTCATGATAATATTCATATAATTCTCATGAAGATGTGTTTTAAAGGAATTTTCATGTAGAAAAAACTAAAAAAAAGAGTTGAAAGTTTTTATTTTAACATTATAATATATTTGTATTATTATATATTTATTGCGTATAATTTTAAATTTATTATTTAGGTTTGACTTTCATTCTCTTTTTTCTTTTATATCAGCAATAAAATTGAATCATAAAATTTGAGAATTCGTTCTGCTTAACTTATTCCAATTTTGTTATTACCTATTCTAATCAAAAAAATGATAAAAACATGTATTTTTTGTTTTAATTTTTAAAATTCATATAAATTTTAAAATTTACACATATTATTATAATAATTATTATCATCAATTTCTTAATAATATAAAAAATATATAGATAAAAACTAAATTAAATCGAAAGAGTTATAAAAATTAAGATCATTACGAAAGAGATGACGATGAATGAGAGATCTGGCGCTGATAAATTGAAATATTGAACGCCATCTTCCACATCAGAAGGCGTGATAATCATATATTTGAAAAAAATATAAAAATTGGAATGAAAATAAATTTATAATTTTAATAATTCACAAAAGTATACGTGTTTTATAACAAATTTCTTTTGAAAAATATCGCTTTAATGTTATTATATTGATTACAAATAGCTATTGAAATTTTAGAATTAATTACAAAAATAAATATATAGTTTAAAGTACAATTTAATACAAGTTTTCTTTAAATAATATTTACAAAATGTGTATAAATTTTAAATTAAATATAAATTAAAATTAATGTATATAAATTAATAAATTATGTAAATAAATCCTGTCCTGAATAAAAAATGACAAATATTAATATTAAGAATAATAATTGATAATAAAATTATTGATTGAAAATCGGTAATTTTTATATTAAAAAATAAGTTATACAGCAACATATGTTGAATTCTTGATTATGAAATTACTTATTCAAGATGTTAATAAATAATAATAATTTATTTATTTAAAAAGAATATTTTTGGAATATTTGTTTATAATTAACTTGTTGATAACATTTAAAAATATTTCTTCTATAAAAAAAATCATATTTTGATAATTAATAATAAAAAAATATAGAACATAATTCAGATTTGTGTATCAAATCTAGATATGTAATATTTTATTCTAATAAGAAAAAATAGATTTCAAAATATCGTAACTTTAATAAAAAATTCGAAAATAAAAATAATTAATACCTATTAATTCATGTAAAATTATATTTTATGCGATAAAATTTTAATGTAAAATATTTAAAATGATACAAAATCTATAATAAAAAAAAGATATAAAAAAATTTGTTATTGAAATATAATAAATGAAATATAATTTTTAAAAAATATATGTAACAAATATTTATATATATGTAAAATCATATAGTTATATATGTTTACTTATTTACATGTTTCGATATTTTTTAATATATTTTAGAATATGAATGAAGCTACTTAATCTTTTTTTAGAGGATGAATGAAAATACTTAATATTTTTATAAGAAATTACATTTTTCATTAAAAGTCAAAATGCTAATATATACAAATTTTTATCTTATTAAAAGAATTATAATTATAAACAATAAATATTTTCTCATTATTGATTTTTTATATTAAAGTAATTCAACAAAATACACATTATTTTTTTTTTTCAGAATTATTCATGAAAGTGGATTTACACCTGAAGACTTTAAGCAGTATAGGCCCGTAGTGTATAGCAACACGATACAATCTTTAGTCGCTATTCTCAGAGCGATGCCAAATTTGGACATCAACTTTTCGACCAATGAGAGAGAGGTAAGTTGAAATGACACTTCCGTTGAGAAACAGGATCTTTAATAAATATTAATTTAGTAGAATCCGTAATATGATCGTTTTGAAAAATCTTACATTTTTCTTTATTTCGTTATTGAAATAATCTTAATTTCTTAGATTTGTGATGATCGATGATTATATTTTTAATAATCATAAAATATTGTTCATTTTATATCAAATTACTTATGTAAATACCCATTGCAATAAATTATATTGAAATTCATAATTAATTAATAAAAATTAACAAATAATTAATAGAAATATAATAAGTGTAATATTTAACAAAATTTATACGGAAAATTTTCTGATAAATTAAATGATCTGAGAATGGTTTGAGCATTAAAAGATAGAAAAGAATTACGAGTTTTAAAATATATATGATTTTGCTACATAAAAAAATCCGCATAAAAAAACCAATCCATAACAATAAAAGCCCTAATAAAACGAAAAATTTTAATTTCTGATTAAATTTATTATTCGATATATAAAGATATTTAAAAATTTATATATAAGATGATATAAGAAAGTATATATAAGAAAATAAGAATTTTCACAATACAAATAATATAATATATTTATTATTTTCTTTATATATTATTTTATTATTAGATTATGAATATTTATGTATAAATTTATATTTTTATGAATAAAAGAAATGAAACCTAAATAAAAATTTATATTATTTTTTAAATATTATAATAAGTATTCTATTTAATCTATTTGTATTTTATCTTTTTTTTTTTTGTATCTATTTTTGCATTTTATAGTTATATGTATTCAATATATTATTCATATTTGAATTTTTTATTGTTTAATAAAAAAATTCAGTAATTTCATTAATTCATAATTAAATATTATTTAAAATTCTATATATATATATATATAAAATAATTTGTTTATATAATTTTAAGAAAATAATAAAATAAGTTTAAGAAAAAATTTATAAAATTCTAAATAGTACATAATAGTACATAAAATTTTATAAAAGAGTTAAATGGAAATTTTTATAATGAATGCAAGTAAGTAATAAGACTTATCGATCTGAAGAAAAGTTAAAAATTATCAATAGTTCGACCACTTAAACGATCAATGTGCATCTTGAGGCAATCTCTAATGCATTCTCTTCGACATATTTACCATCGTATTTATCGAATGTACAGCATCGCGTTATCCTAAAGCCAATAAACGAGCTCATGTTTTGAAAGCGAGCGTGATGAGTTGTTTTGAGTACCAATTGATTCAGCTTCTCGAATCTAATTATTTTTTTTTCTTATTCTGCTCTTTTTTTTTTGTTGTATTGACATTGTATTGATGAAGCGGAAAAAATTATAACTATTTTTAATTATTTATTTTCATTAATATCATAAACATATTTAAAAATTAATTTTCATGAATATTACTATGATAAATTTAAACTACAAAGTATAGCTTGATATGATGCTCAATAATAAAGTATATTCAACTTCATAAGAGAATAAAACAATTGTTATTTTTTGTTCTTAGATGATTGCTCTCTTAAATAGAAATACATAGTCACATATAAACTTCTTGTTTGTTTTATTATTTGTCTAATCAAAGTTACAGTAGACAATGAGTTCTATTAAAATTCCACTTTTATTTGTACTTTGAAAATGTTTTAGAATTTTAATATATCTTAGACATATATCAAATCAAATAGTTTGATTGATATTATAATTATATCTATAGCTTCTTAAAATGGAAAATTATTGGTATCAGAACTTATCAAATCTTTTCATTTATCTTATTGCGCTTAATTTATTAGAAGTATAATAATTGACAGACAATTTTATATTTTAAACTTTGTCAAATCTTGTTTTATGTAATTATTTTGACAGAATATCATAACTCTTATTTTCATAGTTTACTGTTTCATAGTTTAATGTTTAAGAAAAATTTCAAGTTCTTTAATAGATTTCTTTGAATTTAATTATAATGAACAATTTAATTTTTAAATTTAATAAATTAATTATAATGATCTAATCATCATGAATTATTAGTATTAAACATCTTTTATCTTTTTGATACTTGAAAATATATAAATCAATCTTATATAGTATAAAATTTATAAAATATTTGAATTAATTTCAATTTATTTTCTATACTTGGTTTACTCCATAAGTTCGTGCTGTATAGGCATATTACTTTATCAGGAAATTTCTCAATCTTTTTTAATAATTAAATTAAATAGTTATATTGTGTTAAAGTTTATATTGTGTAAATTTTTTTATCTAATTTTTCATTCAGGAATACTGTTTTCAAATTAACATAAAAAATATTATATTTGTAAAAAAAATCTTATATTTGAATAGTGAATAACAAGAAAATATTGTATTTTTCATTAACTTACATGAAAACAATTTGTTACTATTATTATTTGTTATCTTATATTTAATTATCTTGTTTTCTTCTTTTTATTTTAAATACTCATTTTAGATTAATTGGACTTTTTTTATTTGATAAACTTATTTTTGCTTTCATTGCATTTATCCATTTTTTTCTGATTGAATAACTTCTTATCAAATTTGGTTCATATTTATCATTACCATATATGCATAAAATCATCAAACTTATTAAACTTTTATACTAATTGATTCATATTTTACATTATTCTTTTCATTTTATATTTTTCATTTTCTTCTATATTCATTTGTTGTGTTCTATTCTGATTTCTTTCATTTTTTTTTTATTTATCTATAGTTTTATTTATCCATTCTTCATTTATCTATAATATAAATATATAATTAATTTCAATTTTATTGCTTTCAAATTGAAATAAACTTTTTTTTAGAGAAATAATATTTCTATTATAAATAATTTTATAATTAATTTTATGATGTTAGATTTATTAGTTTATTTTTTTTATTTTCAATGTATTCAATAAACATTAACTTTTTCAATTTCTTATTGCAATCTTTATTTTGTTATATCTAATCAAATAATCAAATACTTTCAAATGATTTAAATCTGATTTTAGAAAAAGAATCTTCTTTTAAAGTCAAATTCTGTAATGTTGGTAAAAAATTTATTATAAAAAATTTATTTAAAATATAAATGTATGGCAATAACTTCTATCTAAAATTTTTTAGGCAAAATATAATCAGAAGTATACTCAATAATGTACTTCTGATTTTTTCTATAATAAATCTATATTTTTTTTTTCATTATAGCATATATAGATATAAATTATATTTATTCATTTAGAAAATTTTAGAAATTTTTCAGAATTTTTAAAATTTTTTTAATATCAAATCTAATAATTTTTATTTTTCTATTTTGTTCATTTTTTGTCATATTTTTATACATCTTGAATCAATTTTTAATTTCAGATTTTCAAAAAATATATTATAATATATCATACATAAAATAATATCTTTTTAATGTAAAATAATATGTTTTTGATTGAATAAATTTCCATTGGTTCATACAAATTTGAATGCATATTGATTTTTTTTATGCTTTTTTTTAATTCTTATACCAAATATTATTGTCCTTCAAACTAATTTTGTTGTAAAACTTTGTATACTTTTTCTGATTATATATTCAGTTGATACATTTTATTTTCGTTGTTGTATCAATAAAAATTAAATAATTAATTTTATTAAAATTTAAATTAAATTTTAAATAAATTAACTTGTTTAATGAAATGATATTTCATGATTTTATTTTCAATTTTAATACAAATAGAATATCTTTTAATAAGTTTATGTATTTAAGATATACTTGTATGGTTTCCTAAAACTAAACTTCCAATCGTTATAATCTTCTTTTCCTTTTAGCTTGTTTGTCAGCGACAAATTGTTCGTAGTTGTCATTCTTTTTACTGAAACAGACTTATGATTTCTTTTATCACATGATTCAATTTAATACATTCCGCTTGTAATTGTTCATGGCATTTAAAAATTATATTTTACAAACGACTTATTTTTCTTTATTGGAAATTAACAAATTTCCGACATAAAATAATTAAGAGGACATTATTTATTCTTCAATAATTTTATCTTAATATTTATGCCTAACTCCATTTGTTCTAAAACGGAAAATTAATGATGAAAAAATTATAACGATTTTTGACTATTTATTTTTATTATTATCATTATTATTATCTGAATAAATTTAAAGATTAATTTTTATCAGTATTATTAGGACAAGATTAAATTAAATATATTAAATTGTAAATATTGAATATATTTCTTTTCTAACATTTAAAATTATTATTAGAATATTAGAAGATTTAAATTCTAAATTTGAATTCATTTTTAACAATTAATAACATGTATTAGCAAATTACATTAATTCAAAATGAAAAAATAAAAACAATTTTTAAATTTCTAATGTTTTCTTTTCATTTTTTAAAAATATACTTTTATAATGATTTAAAATAAAAAAAATTTTTATTCTACAATGTTCAATATCAATGTTCAATGCACTATTATTCTATCATAAAAAATATTCCTAAATGAAATTTCATTCTTTCAAAGAGATTTTGTACCAAAAAAATTATTCCAAATATTCCATAATTATTCTATGTGTATTTATTGCACACATTACATACATATATATAAATTTTTATTAAAAAAATTTTTCCAGATGAATTTTTTCATTCTTCAATTTTTTTTATTATTTATTGTAATAAATTTTTAAACATATTTTTCAATTTAATTTTTCAGTTTCTTCGAAAATGAATCTTGACAAAAAATTTATATATTCTTTATTATTTTTTCATGTAAAACAACTCCATCTATTTATTAATTCATAAAAATTATTTAAATTTCTTAACAGAAATTAACTAAATTTACATTTTTATATTTTCTAATTTGATTTTTTCAAAAACAATGTTTTAATTAAAAAAAATTTTTGAGCCATTTTTAATTATTTTTTCAATATCTTTTTGTAATTCTCCACAGTTCGAAGATACTTATCTATTTATTCTAATTTACTTATTCTGTTTTTTAAATATTTAT